GTGTAAGAAATGGTAAGAATACGTAAAAGTATGTGGTAATCATGATCCCCCATTATATTACTTTGAAGCCTTATAATGTTTTCATTCATTAGTTGGAAAGGTTTTATTCTGGGTTGTTTGATTTTATTGTCTGTGATGGTATGAACAGCTATTTTGAAAGAAACAAGACATAAGAGCTAGTGCTGATGTAATATCATCTTTTATTCTTCTGTCTCCATTGGCTTTATCATGTTGTATCTTATTGAATTTTATTATATGTGATAGTATAAACAAAATTTTTATGGACAAGGAGATAACACAGAAACCATTGTTCATTTTCTGTTAGTTAGTTCTGAATACCCTGGAACACTTTCATTCTCTTGAATGGTTTTACACTGTCCTGTTATGTATGATACTGTAGTGTGAAAGTATACTCAAATACTTCAAGGAAAGACACACTATGGTAGCTAATATGTCGGATTGTCTTGTGGTCAAATACTATGTTGCTTAAATTGTTCTGTTCTGACCTGTTTTGTTATGTCCTCTTTTATTTTAATCTCTTTTTTAAATAAAAAAGAAAATAAAAATAAAAATAGCCTATATTATAAGAGAAACTCCATGACCGCCAGGATCTGGCTTTCTCTGCCCCAAACGTGGTGTGGGGGACATACATATAGTTTTTGGGGAAGTGCCTAAAGATGGCATTGCTGATGTGGGAGTAGCTGATTGGGACTCTTTTCGCACCATGGGTAAATTGCATAGGGGTGGAAAAAGTGACCTCAAAGTAAACTTCCCTTGGTCCCACCTCCCACTGCCGTAACGTCCTACCGTACGGCAAAATCCTTTCATTCTGTATATAGAACAGACCAGGAGAACCTCAGTTCCACAAAAATAATGAACCTTGTTGAACCAATCTGTGGACCAGTGACCACAGAGTAAAATAGATGACGTTTTCTCATTCTCTCCTGCCCCAGCTACCTCATATAACCCCTTTACTCAGTAAAATAGTTTCTATTCAGGTAATTGCTGTTCAGTTGCTGCTCACTGGAGCCAGAAACCCCCTCAGGTCTTTATCTTTAAAGCCTGTCCTCTTCAAGAATTTTCTTCTCTCCTCTTTATTTCATAAACTGAGCACTGTAGTGTATTCTCTCTGTAGCATCTTCAGCAAGGCAAAGAGCATACAGTATCAGAGTCAGAGACCTACTATCTTTGGTCTCACAAGAATGGGTCACTAGCAATTTTGAAAAGTTTGGTATTGAGCAGAGAATGTAGGGTGCACACTCTGGTGTTTCTCCTACAATAAAAGTGGCAGCCTCTCTCAGATAATTGGGATTGACATGAATTCTAGTACATACTTGAAAGAGTTTCTATTACTGTCTGCTCCATTCATGGGAAGCATGATTCCCATGCTTCCTCTGATTAGGTACTCAGGTCAATCCAAACATTTATGGGAAATGATCATAGCTCTCCACCACTGGCATCCATATCCCATTTTGTCACCAATGCACGGTCTGACAAAGTGGGATTGCAATGATTCACAAGAACTGCAGAAGGGTTAGCAATACTTTTATTAATCATCTCTACTGCTAATGTGACATGCCTACCTAAGACCTAGGTATCAGACACCCCACAGCTATGCCCACATGGGAAAAGATTGGTGCCTAGGGATGTTTCTCTCTCACTCCTTAAATTGAAGTGTCCACCATGACTCAACTGCAAGGCAGTTCTGGCTGGAGCAAGGCCAAATTGATCTCAGCTGGGCCAGACTGAAGTTCAGAGAAAGAGCACTGTAGCAAGTGCATGAGGACTGGAGCACAATCGCCAGTGCCACAGAAAAGTAAAACCTACTGATAACAACAGGGCAGAATAAGATAAAAGCAAAACAACAAAACCGGGAAAAAAAATCTAAGATTAACAAGTCAATAGCAATAGAAAATGATAAAAAAAAAAGTGTGAGCAGCTTGTGTTCTTGAAGAAGTGAACAAGACTTTATGTCAAGCAAAGTTTCTTTCCAGATTCTCTTAGGCTGAGCACCCTGGGTGCAGAGTTGGCCAGAAGTCCTCAGTCTTCAGTTCTCTCAGTTGAGCAGCAGTGAGTCACAGCTGAATCCAGCTGAAATTCCTATCAGCTAAGGTGCTCCAGGAAACCTGAAAGAGCAGAATGTGGTCAGCAGTAGGCATAGTCTCTGTGGCACTCTCAAGTGACTTTTAATTGTCTAATAAATTTAATAACCTGGGATGAAGTTCCCCCACTTTATGAGTTCAATCACTCACTACTATGGAGAAGGATCCTTAGCCATGCTGGCAAGCCTGACAGAAGCCAGAGAAGCAGTTAGAGCTCATTTACAAAAATAAAACGGAGAAAACTGAACTGAACTGAACTGAGCTGAAACAGCACTGAGAGCTGTCCGGGCTATAAACACTGATGAAGAGCAGATTTAGTTAAGAAGACATTTGGAATTGATCCAACTTGATGCAAACCCACCAGGATTTTAACTTCAGAAGACAAGATGCTCTGAACTGAATTCTGATACATGGAGGGAGAGGGAAGCTTGAAGTGAAAGCAAGTCATTTGGTTTCGTTTAGTCAAGAGTGAACTGAAAGTCCTCTTTACAGAATATATTCCCATTTTTGGCCTTTCATATCACCATAACTCATGGCCAGTAACACGCTGACCACTCAGAATCTATCACTGTAATGAGTGTCCTTCATTAGTTATTGTATCCATCAGTACTATCCTTTGTGGCAGAAATCATGTTATATAAGTGACATTATTTTCATGTAACACATTTTCATGTAATTTTCCAAATAAAAATTATGTGTACTGACTAGTGCAAGCTCCATAATTAGAAAAAAACATTCAAAAAGTATCCTTGAATTTGTCCTGACAAAAACAAATCAGATTTTTTTCACACAGAGAAGCTTAGAAAAAAATAGAAGTTTAAAAAATAAGTGCATTATGTAAAATTCAAGGGATGAAAATGGAGGGAGTTCTCCATCTGTGGATATCCTACACACACTGGACACCTGGGATTTTCTGCCACTAAAAAACTGTTTACTAATCTACGTCCATAAAAATTCCAACTCTTGATTAAACTATTGACGTGTATCATAAAACATGGAAATTTCCTATTTCAAGAAGCATGCTACTGAAACATGACCACCATGGAGTGAATTCCAGTGGTGACTTGTGTTTCATCTAACAGCACATCCCATGAGTTTCTAGATGCCTATTTAATGTCACTAAAAAGAAAAAAATCTGTGAAGTCCTGTCAGTGTCAGAGCCCTATTGATCTAAGTGGTGAAAAAATAAAATGTGTCTAAGTATCAATAGAGTAGTACCTATTCATTTACTGGTGCAAAATGACTTCTGTTTACATATAACACCTATTCATATTTAGCAATCTTTGAAATACTTTATAAACAAACTAACAATGGACTAAGCTAACAATGGGCTCATTCTTTGCTCTTCTTTCTTCTATTTCTATAATGTTATAATGTTTAACACTAAACAACATTTAACAATATAACGCAAGTTTTACTTTCTGTACAATATGACCAATCATGATACTAATAACACTTTTCAATTTTATCAATCCTTATTTGTACATAATCTTATCTCACTGTGGTTTTAATTTTCAGTCTTTTTACAGTATTGAGGTGACACACTCTTTCATGTGATATCTTAAATGTTTGTGAAATATCAGGTCAAATGTCTAGCCCAATGTTTAAAATGGATTAAATAATTTGATGTGTATTGCTCAGGATTCTTTAGAGCAATGAAACCAACAGAATGGACATACAGTTATAAATGGGGATTTACAAACTGGCTTACAAAATCAGTCCAGCCAGGGTCTTTTGTGGAGAACTGAGGAAACCATCAACTGCTCTGTTCAAGAAACTAGAAGCCTCAGAAAAGCAGGCACCAAGGTTTCAGCCACATGGCTAGTTTGAAATCCTGGCAGCTCCCTGGAGAGGCCGTGGTGTGAATCTCCATCCAAAGGTTAGAGAAGAGCTGGAGTCTGGTGTCCCAGGGAAACTGCAGCAACAAAAAATTGTCTCCACTCAAGAAGAATCAAGCTTGCACATACAGGCAAGCTTCCCTCTTCTGAAATATTTTGTTCCATCCGCAGACCCACTACATAGTGGGTCTATAGTGCACCCACACCCAGGGCAGGTGCTCCCCTCCTTAGTTCACCAACTCCGCATGCCAGTCGTCTCTGGAAAAACAAATACACCCCGCAAATGTTCTTTACTAATTTTCTAGGTGTCTGTCAATCCATTTTCAAGTTGTAAATATCCTTAATTATTCCAGATAATCTCACATCATGTTCACATTTTATGCATACTTTCTTTCTGTTTTTAAGCCAGGCCATATAAAATAATATTCATTTAAAAACCAATATGTATATCATTAAAATAAAAAACATATTTATTCAAATTTAACATCAAGAAAACAAGTAGACATATCATATACAGAGAGATTTCAGTTATGTTATTAAGTAGTGATATCACTAGAGTGATATAGCATGTAACTACAAATAAAATTCCTGAATCAAATGATGTCTCCAAGCTTAACATTTAGAAGAAATGCTGAATTTTTTAAATGGCTAGACTATTTCAAAGTATTACCAGTGACACAGAGGTTTTTAAATAACCTCTTCTCCCTTCCTGCTTTTCTTCCTCCCCCCTGCTATTTTATTCCCTTTGCCATTTCAACAGTTTCTTCATACTTCACAGTATCAATTATATATTTTGGTCTTTGTTTTGCTTTTTAAGAATAGGAATTGTCAAAGCAGATGTGAAGTACAGGAACCAGCAGAAGGCTCAGACCTTCTGTTTATTCTTATTATGGAATTTCGTCTCTTCTCCCACTCTCTCCAACTCCAGGGCCACAAAGATTTTCCCTCAAGAGTGCTTTGTATGGAACCTGGCACCGCTGTAAATATAGATTGATAGGACCGTGGTCCAATCGCAGAGCGAGAGCCTCAACGGCACAAAGAAGAGGCGGGGCAAATGGGGCGTTGGAGTTTCTGACAGCGTGGCAACCAGCAGCAGTCAAGGGGTCTTTAGCAGTGGGTCCAGGCATCAGCCTTGAAACATCAAGATGTCTCTTTCCAAAAAGTTGACTTTAGACAAATTGGATGTTAAGGGGAAACGAGTCATCATGAGAGTAGACTTCAACGTCCCCATGAAGAATAACCAGATTACAAACAATCAGAGAATCAAAGCTGCTGTCCCAAGCATCAAGTACTGCCTGGATCACGGAGCCAAGTGTGTTGTTCTTATGAGTCACCTAGGCCGGCCTGATGGTGTCGCCATGCCTGACAAATACTCCTTGGAACCCGTTGCTGCTGAGCTCAAAGCCTTACTTGGCAAAGATGTTCTGTTCCTGAAGGACTGTGTGGGTCCAGAAGTGGAGAAAACCTGTGCCAACCCCGCCACTGGATCAGTTATCCTGCTGGAAAATCTGCGCTTCCATGTGGAGGAAGAAGGGAAAGGCCAAGATCCTTCTGGAACAAAGCTGAAAGCTGAACCAGATAAAATAGAGGCCTTCCGAGCCTCCCTCTCCAAGCTAGGGGATGTCTATGTCAATGATGCTTTTGGCACTGCACACCGGGCTCACAGTTCAATGGTGGGTGTGAATCTGCCCCAGAAGGCATCTGGATTCCTAATGAAGAAGGAACTGGAATACTTTGCCAAAGCATTGGAAAATCCAGAGAGACCCTTTCTGGCCATACTTGGTGGGGCCAAAGTGGCAGACAAGATCCAACTCATCAAAAATATGCTGGACAAAGTCAATCACATGATTATTGGTGGTGGGATGGCTTATACTTTCCTTAAGGTACTCAACAACATGGAGATCGGTGCCTCCCTATTTGATGAAGAGGGTGCCAAGATTGTCAAAGATATCATGGACAAAGCAAATAAGAATGGTGTCAAGATTACTTTTCCTGTTGACTTTGTCACTGCTGACAAGTTTGATGAGAATGCTAAAGTTGGAAAAGCCACTGTAGAATCTGGCATCCCTGCTGGATGGATGGGTTTGGACTGTGGTCCTGAAAGCAATAAAAAGTTTGCTCAAATTGTGGCCCAATCAAAATTAATCGTTTGGAATGGCCCTGTGGGAGTGTTTGAATGGGATGCCTTTGCTGCAGGAACCAAAGCCCTCATGGACGAGGTCGTGAAGGCCACTTCTAAAGGCTGCGTCACCATCATAGGAGGTGGAGACACTGCTACTTGCTGTGCCAAATGGAACACTGAAGACAAGGTCAGCCATGTGAGCACTGGCGGAGGTGCCAGTCTTGAGCTTCTGGAAGGCAAAATCCTTCCTGGAGTGGAGGCCCTCAGCAACTTGTAAGTCAATGGAATGTTCCTTCCTGCTGTCCCTGTCCATAATCTTCAAGTACTTTAACATCTCAACTTGGTTTTGGTTAAAATCTACCCCTGTTAAGGCCCACATAAAGATAAATCATTGCAACCTCAGGAACTCTTAACATCTGTACATCAACTCAGTTATTTCTACACTGCTATGCATTTGCCTGCTGTCCTCAAGATAATGTTTGGACTTCACCATTGGGCTTTGTAAGGAGACGATCTTTAATTGCCTATTAAACAGAGTGGGCTGAATAATTTGTATGTCTGTTTTCATTTTAGTCCTACTTCGTTAGTATAAATAAATAATAAAAATACTTAGTTAAATAATGCTATTGAATTTCTCATAATTTTTCAAGAAATTTAGCAAGTGGTATTATTTTAGCTATTTAAAAAGTAGATGTGCTACATAATGTGGAAATTAACTTTCTGTTAATTAATATGGTTAATCTTATAAATAAGACTATAAACTAATTGGAAAAATGAAGCGTATTATTTTGCACTTATTAGCCAAGGGGAATTATCATTTAATTAAGGTTTAAATATTGGACTTATTTCAAAAACATAGTGTTGACCAAACATGCTACTTTTTGAAAACTTAGGACACATACATTCTTTCTTTCCTATCTAAAAACTGTAATAAGATCAAGTCATATTAAGTATGTGAGTATGGACATGTATGTGTCTGTGTGTGATGGTAATATGGTATTGAAGACAGATAAATTTAATGGCCAGGAGCTCATTAGGTAAATCTGTCTCCATACTTTGGGCTCCACATGATGAACTAAAATTTAACACTCATGTAATCAAATTCAGATATACCTGGGAATAATAGCGAATCAGCTTTCTGGCAATCACAGGCAGCCAATTCAATGCACCATACCAACTAAAGGATGTGCTTAGTTTAATCCTTCATGTTCTGTTCCCATAACTGAGCAAACACCTCTTTCTGAGTGCTGCCCACTTTATTGATCTTTCTTTGTTCAAATAAACTGTGTTAAATTTATTCTGGGTAAAGTCCTTTTTAAAAAATTTAACAAAACCAATAGATGCAATCTTTCTAAATTTTTTTTTACCAGAGTGCTTGTCAAAAGTTTAAAATTTGTAGGCACTTGTATGACTGACAATAGGACAGCAGTTTTTCTGAGCTTCCCACTCAGAGTAGGAAGGACAAAATCAGAGTTCTTGCTGAATGGAAAAATATTTACCAGAAACCATGTACATGAACTGTCAGAACTGTCAAGCCCTTCATTCACCTGTCAAGCCCTTAGGAAAGGAGTTTGAGGGAAGTTTGGATGGATGTGTCCTGAAATCCACTGATGCACACTCTCCTTGAATCACCTTGCAGGTGTTTAAGGACTGCTTTATCTGCTGAAGTTTCAATGCTTCTATTCCTTAGCAATGCAACCAGAGAACGCTTCACTGCACTCCTGTGGCTTCCCTGCTGCTGATGAGTATTTGTGGTTTGAGACTGCTGCATAATCTATAGATGCATGCTACCCTGAATAAAACTTTGATATTGATGTCACATGTTTTCCCCTGACACTAGAACTGTTCCAGGGACTCCATTCCTTGGCAGGCCTGGGGTGAGGCTGTTATGGTCTGCTTGGTTACTGGGTTTCACCAGTCTGGCACTCTATTCAAGAGAAAAATCTTGTGCGCACTACCCTACGCTACCTCCAGTGAATGGGGTCTTGCCCCATGCCATGCTGCCTGGGGTCGGGGTAGTACGGGGAAAGGCAGGCCTTTGGAGCCCTAACCTGATGTTAGACTGAGCTGTGTCTGAGTCTCACAGTCACAGGGAGCTTTACCATTTCAGAGAGTAGAATCAAATCCACACCATGGCCAGCAGTGATGTAGACTGAAACAAGTTACTCCCACTGGTCTCTGCAATGGGGCAGGGATTCTAGAGCTCTGTGAGAATGGCCTGGTGATAGCTGTGCTACCTGAAATGTAGGCAGTCTCTCGGCCACTGAGGCTGACGCTAAACTGGGTTTCACCTGTGACTCGCTGCAGCAGAGGCCTTCACAGACTTAGGAAACGGACAGATGGGCACTTCAAGGCTAAAACGGATGAACCCGAAATGTGCCTCTGCCCTATGGACACCCAGATCTCCTCCACCTGATGCCAGAAATGCTCTAAAGCCTACCTCTGAGCTCTGGCCTGCATTCAGGACCTTCAGGTTCCAGCAGGTGCTGGCTCTCAATTCAGCGGGGCTGTCTCTGGGTTCTGAGACAAATGACTATGTTAGCTTCATACTTTGCTCTCCAAGAGACAGTATCTGCTGCCTACCATGCTACTTGGAGCTGGGAGAAGAGTGGTGTGTACCATCTCCTTACTGCCTGACTTAATACTATTCCTTTGCCTCAGGCTGCAGGCACTGATCTGATGGTAGGGGTCATAGGACTTTGCTTGGCACTCGAGTTTCATCCTAGAAAGTTACTGGATTTCAAATCTAAGGCCTGGACTCAGTTTTCTCTCCCCCTCACCACTGTGTATGGGCTAATTGGAGTTGAGGAGGACCGCCATGGGCAACTCACCTTCATGCCTTCTTCAATGTGTTCTTTCACTTATTATACTAAAAATAAGCATTATAGTTTCTGACCTGATGTCTCTAGCTCTGTGTTAGTAATTTGGTGCATGAATAGCTGTTCACCTTGGTGTACCTACAGAAATATGTCACCAGAAAGTTTTACTAAGTTGCCAGATTTCTCAACTCCCAAAATACATTTTTATATGTAACATAAAATTGCTTTGTAGAAAAACAGAAAAAATTAAGAGTTGCTGACTTAGATTTTAATATTTCCTACCAAGCTTTTCTTTACTTTCATAGTTATAGAGTGCATATCCTTCAAGAACAGTGGCTTTTTAATAATAACTGAAAGATAAAAGCTGCAAACGATTATTTGAAAATTGTATTCTTTGCACAGCTTTTACTCTACAAAATACCAAAATTCAAAACATGGCAAGTTTGTCAGAATATGTTTCTAGTACCAAGAGTTGTTCTTAAGCAGAACATAAATATGACAAGAACAGACTTAAAGACCCACTATAGTATTTTAAAACTTTATTTTTAAAAACGGTCTTCTTATACCCAGTCCAATTGTTCCTTTACTGAGGTTTTTGTATTTCAAGACAACTCATAATTCAAGTTGTGTGCAGCTTGCTTTTCCTATATAAAAGGGAGGTATCACATCATAAATGGCATAAGAAGAAAGGAAAGTTGGCACAGAGTTGCAATCAGCGCAAAATTTGTGAAGCAAAATATCTACAAGCCCATTTTCTGGTCAGTTTTAGGAAAGAGTACACTCACAGAATTGGAGAATTTCTGTAACACAATTTGGACCCACATTTCCTTTAAAATTCTTCATGTAGCCCTGAATGATGATGCTCCATTTTGGAAAACACCAGTGTAAATGACACAAACTGATCATTATCCTCCATATAATTATGCTCATATATGTATTAGTGAAGGTCAACAAACCACTTATTTAGCTTGGAAAATTTAAAGACAAATTATTGGTGAATTGTACAGAAATTATTTATAATTTATTTAGCCAAGAGTATAATATCATGTTAGCCTGAACATGTCTACATGGAATTAACTAAAAAAAAATACATTATAGCTTTTTTCTTTCTTGTCTTTTTTTTTTTTTGCGCTACAGAATAAATCCCAGGGAATAGGCCCCAGTCCCCAAGTTATGTTTTTGTAAAGCAATGGATTGAGATAAGAGTTGTTCATAAATCAGGCCTAACAGAAGCAACCAGAGAAAAAGTACAAGGCCTCTCAGAGGAAAGGGTGAAAGTATCTTGAGAAATTATAGTAATTCCTTTAAAATTAATAATCTTTTACTATTTAACTTTTATTTGGAAAGTTGTAAAATTCCTTTGATGATTAATTTTAGGTATAGACTTGACTGCAGTAAACAATACCTACAAATGGGGAAGGGTTATTATTTGGAGTATCTGTGCAGGTGCTTCCAGAGGATCTTTGCATCTGAGAATCAGCAAACTGAGTGGAAAAGACCAGCCCTTATTGTGGGTGGGTAGCCTCCACTTGGATGGGGTCAATTACAGTTAACAGACTGGTATCTATATTCATCCCTCCAAGGCCAGGACACACCTATCCCTAACTTGGAAATCAGCATTCCAGGGGTACCAAACTACAGACCCCAGAATTTATACTAGGAACCCCCTCCTGATGCACTGGGCCTTTTCACTTTGAACTCAGAATTGCTCTGTCGGTTTTTCTAGTTCTAAGGCCTTTGGACTTGATTTGAGGCACTCTACCAACATCCAGGGTAGCCAGACTATAGACCATCTGTTATAGACTTCTCAACCATCATAAACATGCAAATGAATTTCCTAATGAATCCTGTCTCATATATCTAAAAATACATATTCACATCCAGAGAAGTGCACACACAGGGCCAGCCTACACCTGGGCCCCTCCTACGACTCCTCCTGTCTCTGCAGACCATCATGCAGATCCAGAAACAACAGCCAGAGGTATGCACAAGACCAAGCTAGACTTGAGTGCCTCCTGTAACTCCCACTGTCTCTGCAGACCACCTTCTGGGACACAGGAACTCCAGCCAGAGGTGCACATGGGGCTGGGCCAAAACTGGGCCGCTCCTGTGTCCCACAGTTCTGGTCACCCACCTCAGGACCTAGGAACCCCAACCTGTGACAAGCACCCCCACAGTCCTACCACTGCCATGGAGGATGCCCCCACCTCCTGGCCCTAGCATTGCTGTTGATCTTCAGCTCCCACACCTCCCCCCCCAGAACCTTGGACTGCAATGGACTGCAATGCAGTATAGAGGGGAGACTCAGTAAGAACTCAGCAGGCTTCCATCAGTGAGGTGAGTTTACCCCTAAAATAGGAATAGTTTGCCACCTTCAGTGGGTAAACAGGAGGACCAGAGAAGCCCCTGTGGGACAACCAGAGACACAGTAGGGTCCTAGATGAAACAAACACTATAAACAGGGAGACCTGTGACTCTGAACAAGCTGACAACATAATAGCAGCAGGAACTAGGCATTGATTCCCATCAGTACTCCTAGGCTTGTAAGCATAGAAAGAACACAGGACTCACCCAACAGGCCCTGCAGGAGGAATTAAGGTGACTGGCCCACCTCTTCACTATGGGACCCAGCAACTGGACAAACATCAACCTTGTAGTAGGACTCCAAGACACACACTACCAACAGTTAACACTAGTGGGATTGTAGAACCAAATATTAACTTGAAAGAGGAAAATAGCAAAACAAAA